CTGAGTGGGAGGATTGCTTGAAGATAGGAGGTAGAGGTTTCAGTGAGCCAAGATCAAGCCTCTGCACTCCAGCCTGGGCAACAGAATGAGACCCTGCCCCCACCCCCCAAAAACGAAAGAAAACAAGAAAAATTTGGGTCTGGGCATGGTGGTTCATGCCTGTAATCCCAGCACTTTGGGATGCTGAGGTGGGCAGATCACCTGAGATCACGAGTTTGAGAGCAGCCTGGTCAACATGGTGAAACCTCATCTCTACTAAAAATACAAACATTAGCCGGGCGTGGTAGTGCGTGTCTGTAATCCCAGCTACTCTGGAGGCTGAGGCACGAGAATTGCTTAAACCCAGGAGGTAGAGGCTGCAGTGAGCCAAGATCGCACCACTGCACTCCAGCCTGGGCGACAGAGCAAGACTCCATCTCAAAAAAAAAAGGAAAAGAAAGAAAAATTTGGGCCAGGTGCGATGGCTCACACCTGTAATCACAGCACTTTGAGAGGCTGAGGTGGGAGGATGGCTTGGGCCCAGGAGTTTGAGACCAGCCTAACCAACATAGTGAGATTCCCATCTCTGCAAAAAATTAAAAAATTAGCGAGGCATGGGGGCATGTGTGCCTGTAGTCACAACTACTTAAGAGGCTACAGTGGGAAGATTGTTTGAGCCTGGGAGATAGAGGCAGCAGTAAGCCATGATTGTACCACTGCACCACTCCAGCCTGGGCAACAGAGTGAGACATTGTTTCAAAAAGAAAAAAGAGAAAAGAAAGAAAAATGTTTTTTAAATGATCCAGGACAGGCAAGGTGGCTCACACTTGTAATCCTAGCACTTTGGGAGGGTGAGGCAGGCAGATTCCTTGAGGCCAGAAGTTCAAGACCAGCCTGGGCAACACCATGTCTCTACAAAAACAAAACAAAACAAAACAAAAAACACAAATTAGCCGGGCATAGTGGTGTGTATCTGCAGTCCCAGGTACTCAGGAGGCTGATCCAAGAAGGTTGAGGCTGCAGTGAGCCATGATCTCACCACTGCACTCCTGACTGGGCAGCAGAGGGAGACCCTGTCTGGAACACACACACACATCCTCTTGGTGTCAAATATGCTAAGTATGCCACTGATTCCTTGTCAACAGTTAAAAATTGGGAGATTTCAAATGTTTAAAATCCTAATTTGTTGATTTCTTTGAAAAAAGATCTGGCAATAGTGCCCTGAGTTCTCTAAAGGCAATAATCAGTTGGGGACCGCTTATCATTATTATATCTGGCCTGAACCCCTTATTTACACCGACTGTGCCAACTGGCTTAGATTCAAGGTTTCTATAACCCTGCTCTGTGTACCCAGACTGTCACTGAGTCGTCAGCTAGACCACTGGACCCCAGCCGTTTTGGCACCAGGGACAGGTTTTGTGGAAGACAGTTTTTCCATGCACAGGAGTGTGGGAGAAGGGGATGGTTTTGGGATGAAACTGTTCCACCTCAGATCATCAGGCATTGTGGTCTTTTTGTTTTGTCTTTCTTTTTTTGACAGGGTCTTGCTCTGTCACCTAGGCTAGAGTGCAGTGGCGCGATCTTAGCTAACTGCAACCTCCGCCTCCTGGGTTCAAGCAATTCTCATGCTTCAGCCTCCCAAGTAGCTAGGATTACAGGCACCCACCACCATGCCCAGCTAATTTTTGTACTTTTAGTAGAGAAGTTGTTGTTTTTTTTTTTTTTAACCATGTTGGCCAGGCTGGTCTTGAACTCCTGGCCTCAAGAGATCCGCCCACCTTGGCCTCCCAAAGTGCTGGGATTATAGGCATCAGCTACTGCGCCTGGCCTAGATTCTCATAAGGAGCCCACAACCTATATCATGTGCATGCACAATTCACAATAGGGTTTGTGGTCCTATGAGAATCTAATGCCACACTGATCTGACAGGAGGTGGAGCTCAAGCGGTAATGCCAGGATGGAGAGTGGCTGTAAATACAAATGAAGCTTCCCTCCATACTCTGCCGCTCACCCTTACTCCTCCGCTGCTCACCTGCTGTGTGGCCCAGTTCCTAACAGGCCATGGACCAGTAGTGTTGGGGACCCTTGAACTACACTATGACAACTCCCCTTGGTGAGGGTTTCTCCCTGTCCTGTCCTTCCCCCTCCTTTCAGGAAAAACAAGAAGACACACCCATATTTTATTTATTTATTTATTTATTTATTTATTTATTTATTTTGAGATGGAGTCTTGCTCTGTCACTGAGGCTGGAGTGCAGTGGTGCGATCTCTGCTCACTGCAACCTCCGCCTCCCAGGTTGAAGCTATTCTCATGCCTCAGCCTCCTGAGTAGCTGGGATTACAGGTGTTGGCCACCACACCTGGCTAATTTTTGTTTTTGTTTTGTTTTGTTTTGTTTTGAGGCAGTGTCTTGCCTGTTTGCCCAGGCTGGAGTGCAGTGGCACAATCTCAGCTCACTGCAACCTCCACCTCCCAGGTTCCAGTGATTCTCCTGTCTCAGCCTCCCAAATAGCTGGGACTACAGGCGCCCGCCACCATACCTGGCTAATTTTTCTATTTTTAATAGAGACAAGGTTTAGCCATGTTGGCCAGGCTGGTCTCCAACTCTTGACCTTAGGTGATCCGCCCACCTCAGCCTCCCAAAGTGCTGGGATTACAGCATGAGCCACTGATCTTGGCTTCATTCATTTATTTAACACACATGATGTACTGATTGCCTGTTTGTATGCCAGGCTCTGGAGATGAAAATGCGATTAATGGAACATGGTTTCCTGTCTGGCAGCTCTTGATCTAACTAGACAGACTATCCAGTGTATCCCAATTAAGAGACCATGAAAGGCTCTGTGGAACATTAAGAGACTGTGGAACAGGAGGAATACCTGCCTGCCTGGTGAAGTCATGGAAGACAAGGATGGGGAAAGGCTGTTCAACAGAAGGTATAGAGAGCAGCAGAAAACTGGTGAAATCTCCACCCTGCCTCTTACCTATTAATAACATACTTAACCTTCCTGAATTGCAGTTTCCTCATTCTTTGAAAGAGCTTAATTATATTACCCTTTTGGGTCATTTCAACTATTCATTAATTTCATTCAACAACGATTCATTGAGTGCCTGTTATCGCCAGGTGCCACGTGCTGTGCTCGGTTCTGGAAGCAAAATGGTAAAGAAAAAAGAGAGGTGGCTCTGGCCCTTGTGGAATTTAGGACCAGCCTAGCTCAAGGGTCTCCAACCTCCGGCCACAGGCCAGCACCAGCCTATGGCCTGTTAGGCTCCGGGCCACATAGCACGAGGTGGGCAGTGAGGCCAGCAATCATTACCGCCTGAGCTCCGCCTCCTGTGAGATGAGCACGGCATTAGATTCTCATAGGTGCGCGAACCATATTGTGAACTGCGCATGGGAGGGATCTAGGTTGCGTGCTCCTCGTGAGAATCTAATGCTTGATGATCTGAGGTGGAACAGTTTCATCTGGAAACCATCCCTCCACCCCGCTTCGTCCGTGGAAAAATTGTCTTCCACGAAACCTGTCCCTGATGCCAAAAAGGTCGATTGGGGACTGCTTGTCTAGTGGTATTGAAGAAAGTGAAATAGTGGCACTAAAAAATAAATTAGAAGTCGAATTAAGGGTTCTGAATGATGGAACACACTTGAGCTGAGACCTGAAGGTTGTGTAGAACCCAGCTATGCAGAAAGCGTGTCAGGGAGAGAGTCAATGTAATTTCAACTGTCTGGTTTATAGTAGTAGCCGCTCAGGTTAAAAAATCACTAGAGTCCGTCGTGGTGGCATGTGCCTGTAATGTCAGCTACCCCGGAGGCTGAAGCGGGCGGATCCCTTGAGCCCAGGAGTTTAAGACCAGCCTAGACAAGAGAGCGACCCGCCGTTCAAAAAAAAAAAAAAAAAAAATCACTAATATGTAAGCAGGGTTCTGAGTATTTTGCTTGAGTGATTCCATTTAATCATCATAGCTCTTGAAGTAAATGCTTATCTTCATTCCTCAGAGTGGAAAAGAAGGTACGGAGAGACAGAAGTAAGTTTCCCAAGGTCACCGCTCTTGAGTACAGGAGCCAGGATTCTAGCCCAAGCAGAGTCCGTAAGTTGTGTACCAGCTACACAATGAATGGTGGCTACTAAAGCGTTTGCCAGATGGAGAGGGAAGTAGAAGAGGAGGCATTCCTTTTTTCAGGAATGCTCCATATTTGAAGAGTAATGAGCGCACTTCATAGCAAGGCCAAGAACAGAGTAAAGATGCCCGCGCATAAAAAGCAGCCGCGGTGACCGGGCGCGGTGTCACGCCTGTAATCCCAGCACTTTGGGAGGGCTGATCGCTTGACACCTGGAGTTCGAGACCAGCCTGGACAACAAGAGAAAAATCCATCTCTACAAAAAATAACAGTTTAGCCGGCCATGATGGCGCGCGCCCGCAGTCATAACTACTTGGGAGCCTGAGATGAGGGATCGAGGGTGCAATTAGTCGCGACAGTGTGCGACCCTGTCTGAGGAACAAAATCAGCCGTGCTGAGAATGAGCCCCGTGTGGTTAGTGCGCCAAGACGCACTGCCTGCGTAACTAGAAGAGCTGACGGACGACTACCCCGCACCACGCCGCTCAGCGGGACACGCTTCTTGGCGGACTTTACAGTGGGAAAGGGGAATGTCTACGTGCTTATGCACGTGGCACTCTCTGCCCGAGGTCCGGGGACTTTCCCCTAGGCAGTGGGGGAGGAACATAGTCCCCAGTTTGTAGCCTAGGATACAGGCCTTCAGCACGACCTGCACAGTTGCTGTCACGGTGTATTACTTTATAGCCCTAAAAAAGACTTTATTTTTAGATTAGGGTGAGAAAGTTGGTGGCGTCAGAGAAAAACAAACCGTTTTTGGGCATAGCTTTCTAAGACTGTAGGTTTCCAGAGGCATTGTGGCTAGCAGAATAGCTTAATAGATAAGGAATGAGCAAATGCAGGAAAGCTGGATTGACACTATCTTATGCAAATATGGTCTGGCCCCGCCCTACGAGGAGTGGGCGTGGCCTCCCCGGGAGGCCCGTAGCGGGCCTGCTCGCTTGCGCGTGCGCGTGCGCGTGCGCGTGCACACTGGGGCGGCCGGTCAACGCCGGACTGCTTCGGGACAGCCCGCCCCATCCCTCCACCCGTGGGCTGGCAATGGCGGGCCCAGTTTCGCTCTTCGGTATGGTGGGGCTGTTGCTTGTGTCTGCGCTGCCTGGGGTCCTAGGAGACCGCGCCAGTCCCGACCTCCGGGCACACCCAGGTATCAGCGAGAGCTGCTGGAAGAGGGCCGGGACTGCGCACCGGTCCCAGGCCCCACCCAGCTCGGCTGACTTGCCTGTGTCCTCCCTCCGCAGGGAACGCAGTCCACCCCGGCTCTGGGGCCACGGAACCCCGACGGCGACCACCGCTCAAGGACCAGCGCGAGCGGGCCCGGGCCGGGTCGCTGCCTCTGGGGGCGCTTTACACCGCGGCCGTCGTGGCTTTTGTGCTGTACAAGTGTTTGCAGGTGCGGGACCGCCGGGGGTGGGGATGCCCTGAGCCCGAATCTCCCATGGCGGCGCCAGGGTATCAAGAGCAAGACACAGCTTCCCTGTCTGTAAAATAAAGACAAATGGTCCGTTGGCCTTCCAATATTATGAGGTTATTTTGAGGATCCAGGGAGGTAACGGATGTGAAGGGTGAACTGTAAATAAATAATGACCATCACATTTAGTTCTCCCACAATCCAATGAAGAGTAGTCACTTGCTCGAGGTCACCCAGCGCTGGCAACTACTGGAGCTGGGATTTGAACCCAGCTAGCAGTGTCCATGCTACAAGAGTGGGGCCACCTTGGCACAGGAGGTTGATTGCTGCAGCGTGTTTCTAGAGTTCCAGATATGAAGTGGTCTTATGTTGTCCTTGGGAAGGAGGCCCTGAAATGTGAGTTGACAGTACATTTTGAAAAGTAGTACCTTCCAGGGCTGTGTCTTTAGCCCTGACCCTATTACATAGTTGCATTATAAAATAGAACCGATGGAACCAGTTTACATGCATGAAACTAGAAGAGATAGGTAATAATGACCCCAGGTAGATATGACAGGCTAGGATGAATGACTGAATTTAATGATGAACTTTGAGGACAGACTAGTAAATTCTATTCTTGGACCTAAGTACAGTCTGGAAGAAACATAAAGTAGCAGCAACTCTTACGAAAGAGATTTAGGCATTCCAGTTGACTGAGTTCACTGTGGGATGTGACAAGCCACTTCCCAAATCAGTGCTGGGAACATGGCACTGTGCTTCACCTGTTGATCAGAATGCCCCTGGAGAATTGTATTCGCCTCAGGGCACTGCTTTAAGAGCACTACATGTTCAGTAAACCACCAGAGAAAACCACCGTCAGTGAGCACTGACTGTAAAGACTGAAGTTATTAAACCAGAAAAGACTCAGGAAAGGGGGTGAGGGTGTGGCCATTGTCTTCAAATTCCTGAGGGGCTGTTACATTGAGGAGACATTATTTTGGAAGGCTCCAGTAAGCACTATGGAAAGAAGATACATAAAGGACAAATTTTGGCTTTATGCACGAACTGTCTAACAACCAGGGTTTTTGTTTTTTGAGACGGAGTCTCCTTGTGTCACCCAGGCTGGAGTGCAGCAGCGCGATCTCAGCTCACTGCAACCTCCGGCTCCCAGGTTCAAGCGATTCTTCTGCCTCAGCCTCTCAAGTAGCTGGGATTACAGGCATCTGCCACCATGCTGGCTAATTTTTGTATTTTTAGTAGAGACGGGGTTTCACCATGTTGGCCAGGCTGGTCTCAAACTCCTGACCTCAGGTGATCCACCCACCTCGGCCTTCTAAAGTGCTGGGATTACAGGTGTGAGCCACCGCGCCCAGCCACCAGAGCTATATTCAAACCGGAGAGTTGCTCATTCCTGGAGGTGTTTTTCAGCAAACTGAATGACCGTGTGTGGGACATAGGACATGTTGCTTCATGTGCTGGGTGAGGAGCTAGATAGATTAGAATTGCTATTCTCTGAGCTAAAAACCCAATCACCGTCTCCACCTCAAATTGCACTCTCTCCTAGCTGGCTCTGGAGACTGAGGTGATGGAGCAGAACCTTGTTGCTTCAGTTCTGCCCTTTCCTTCTTCCACAACAGGGAAAAGATGAAACTGCGGTTCTCCACAAGGAGGCAAGCAAGCAGCAGCCACTGCAGTCAGGTGGGTTTAGCAGAAGTCTGTGCTGGGTAGAGGGAGATTAGGGGACAGCAGAAGATACGTAACCACTTCTGCCCCCCTTTTTTGCCTTATCCCCAGAGCAACAGCTGGCCCAGTTGACACAACAGCTGGCCCAGACAGAGCAGCACCTGAACAACCTGATGGCCCAGCTGGACCCCCTTTTTGAGCGGTGAGGAGAGCAATGATTCTGTTAATTTTGGGGGAATTTGTGGCAGGAGGGAGGAATGGGGACATAAGTTGGGAGCCACTGAGTGGACATTTCTTCAGTGTGACTACTCTGGCTGGAGCCCAGCAGGAACTTCTGAACATGAAGCTACGGACCATCCACGAGCTGCTGCAAGACAGCAAGCCGGACGAGGGTATGGAGGCTTCAGAACCAGGTGAAGGCTTGGGAGGCGAGTCTGCTGGAGGTGGAGACAAAGTCTCTGAAACTGGAACATTCCTGATCTCTCCCCACACAGAGACCAGCAGACCTCTTCCTGAGGACTTTTGTTTAAAGCAGGACGAGGAGGAGGTTGGTGACAGTCAGGACTGGGAGGAGCCCACAAACTGGACCACAGAGACATGGAACCTATCTACTTCCTGGGAGGTGGAGCGGGGGCTACGGAGAAGGTGCAGCCAGACTGTGGCAGAGGGCCCCAGTCACAGCCCTGGCTGGGAAGGAGGGACGATAGCTGAAGGTTGAGTAAAACAAAGTCTGTTTTTGTGATGGGGTGCTCCTGTGTGTTTTTTCCATCCTAGCTGGTTGTACACACCCATACTAGGTGCCTAAGGACAACTGGGCCTTCTTGAAGAGCTGTCCTTATTAGGACAAAAAGAGGCTGCCTTCCAGTGTGACAGCAGAAAAGATAGAGGGAGCTCCAGCTCTTTTCCTTGTATTCCTGAGGCCACCCGCATACCCGTGTTCAGGGCCCAAAAATCCCTTTTCTCATAGCAAAACTGAGACAGAAGGGTCTTTCCCCAAAAAAAGAAAAAACTTTACTCAAATCCAGTGGAAAAATAAATGATAGAAACTATACACAACATAAAAATAGCCACATTTACAAAGCTGCAGCCTTGATAAATGATGGGCCATGGACACAGCACGGAGCTTATCAGTCCCAAATCCCCTCATCTGTGTTAGAGGCTGGTTCAGTTGGGTCAGACTTGGTTTCCTGATTCTTTTTTAATAAAATTTCTTAATTATTTTTTCTTAAATAGAGACAGGGTCTCACTCACTGTGTTGCCCAGGCTGGTCTTGAACTCCTGGGCTCAAACGATCCTCCCACCTCTGCTTCCCAAAGTGCTGGGATAACAGGCATGAGCCACTGTGCCTGGTCGTGATTTTTAAGAGTTGGTCAGGTGATCTTGAGTAGCTTGGTCCAGGTAAACACAAAGTGACCTTTGTCAAATCATGAAAGGTTCTGTTTTGTTCAGTACTGAAGAAGATTCCTTTGTACTCCTGGCTGTGACCTATCCCTGAGGTATCCTGAGTTCTGGAATCTGTAAGATTCCTCTAGTTTTTCTGGCTGCTGTGGAGAGAAGACAGTCAGTTCAGGCACTGGCATGAGTGCTCTTTTCAGACAAAATTATCTGTGGGGTTGGTGGCTGGGGCGTGCCAGACCAATGTAGGGCACGAGACAGGAACTGCTTATTTCCTGCTTGTGGGCCTCATCACAGCGCCCTTCCTGGGGGAAGACACAACTTACCTGATAGCCCAAGTCAGACTGTGGTACCAGCGTGACAGCTCCTCCTGGTCTGTGGACATAAGCAGTAGCTTCTCATGAGGGAAGGACAGCTAGAGAGAGACCACCTCTTAGCGCATGGCTCAGAAAGGTCCAGGCTAAAGCTGAAGCCCTTGCTGTTTCCATGGAGCTAATTCGGGGATGAGACAATTACTAGGTATGAAGCCTGAGCCCCAGCTATCCTCTCTCAATGTAGATGGTGCTGTTCCTATGAAAAGGGACCCACACCAGGAAGATAAACCAGCCTATAAGCATCTGAGACATATTTTGGGTCTAGGGTTCCCACCTATTACTTACACTGAGCAACCCACCACAAGGGCCTCCTGAGTGGCCAAAGACCCTGCTGAGTTGACACTGGGCCATGGGGTAGAGGGCCTTGCAGGCAAAGGTGCCACTCTGCAGCAGGTGCAGTGGAGGTCGAGGCTTGGCCATGAGCAGCACATCAGTGAAGAGGAAGAACATGCGGGGCCGAGGCTCCCCATGGGGAGGCACCACCAACAGCCAGCCCTGGCGTAGGAACCAGCGCCCTGGGGGATGGGAGCGCTGTTATTCTAGGGCAGCTTCAGGATCCATGGGAATAAGAGGAAAGGGAAGCTAAGAAAACAGGGGTTATGTGCTGGGTCAATACCGGAAGAAGGGTGAGTAAGAAAAGAGCAGCTGGTTGGCGCTTGGAGAGTTAGATAAAAATAAAAGACGGGGCAGTTGAGGTTTGAGGGGGAAGTAGGCAGGCTACCTGAGGTCAGCCCCTTTGCCTGGCGTCCACTGAGCAGAGCCTGGACACGCCGAAGGTGTTGGTCATTCTTCTGTTTCTGACCAATAGTGTGGACTCTCTGGGCAGTCTCACTTATCAGTCGGGCAGCCCCTGGAATAACATCTCCCACACCTTACTCCCCAAATAACTTTGACTTTGGGTGGCATGGTTGTGAAAGAGGCTATTCTGGAGGGGACCAGGGTCAGGGTCTGACTTCTTGAAGAAAAGGCAGAGCAGTAGGGATACTGTATACATGTCAGTGGAAGATAGGGTCATACCAGACATTGTTGGAGGTCAGAGTCAGAAAGGGATACAGGAAAGGAAGCCTCCAGCCTGCGTTGCAGAGGAGCAAGAACCTACGTGTGAGCTGTTGATGGTCAGGGCTGTTGGGACCTGTGTTTTCAGCCAAAGCAACGACGAGATTCTCATACCTGGAATTCAACAGTGGGAAGTCTGAGGGGAAGCACAGCCAGGCAAAACCCCCCCTGCCTGATGTGCAGATCACCCTCTACCCATACTTCAATTGCAAGGCCAGGAAAGATCTGCTTCTGGCTACTGTATCCCCTTCTTTCATGTAGGACTCAGAACCAGGGCTCACACCACACAGCCCTCTTCCATCCCGCACTGAAGAGTCAGTGGCAGACTAGCCATAGTTCAGGAGGCCAGACTGGAAGATGAAAGTTTATCAACCCAAGGAGGATGCTACAGACAGCCTGACTATAGCCCTTAACTCAGGCTTAACCCAGAGAGAGAAATTCTAAGCCAGGCCAGCCCCTCATCTGAAACTTTTCCAGAAACCGTGCCTCAGGCCCTGGTAGAGGCCCCCTCACTTCAATGTAAAGTCCCACAGTTCCAGCTGAGGGCCTCAGGCTGCAGACCCTCAGTACTCCAATGGGTTCACATTTACTCTTGCAAAAGGTTTTTAGAAGCAATTTGGCTCAGGGTCGAGGCAGGGCTTTGGGATCGACCCCAAGACATCCCACAAAGCTGAGGGCCGCAGTCATACAATCTCAAAGAGAGAGGCGGCTGGAATCAAGGGAAGTTCACTCACTGCTGGAGCCGCTGCAGAGGCAGAGGGAGTAGGTCCTGGAGCTGAAGGCCCCCAAACTCAGGGCGGCTTTCCTGAAGCCGCACAAACCTCCGGAAACCTTTATTTTTCTTTAGCTGCTCCTGGAGTGAGGGAGAAAGGATTGGAAGCAGGGAGACAAGCCACTCCTTATATTGCATTCATCTGTATCCACATTCCCAGCCTTCAGTAAGCTGTGCGCTCCTAAGAGAAACCCTGTCTCCCTACAGAGAACTTACCACAGAGCTGAGCACCCAGAGGGCTCTATAAATGCAGGAAATGTATAAAGTTTGGGTCTCCAGATGAAGGGGAAAGGTAAGGGGCAAGATTTGAGGTCATCTCCAGGTTACCTGCAGGGTGGTCTGGGATCTCTCCGAGTTGGCAGCAAATTGGTTATAGAGCTCCAAGTGGCGGCAGAAGCCCTCCAGCCCTTGGCCCCAGCATCCTCCTTCCAGGTAGGGAAGCAGCTCCCTGTGTGGGCGAGGACAGCAAAAGGGCAGCTCTAGAGCCACTCAAGCACCACCTCATTTAGTTCTCATGAGAATTAATAGCACTAATAGTAGTGCTATTACCCCATTGTACAGATGGAGAACAAGGGCATGCTAAAGGCACTGGGCCAAGGCCACAGGTGAGGTAACTGGCGGACTCCAAATAGAACCTGATACAACCTGAGTCTCTGACTCCAAGCTCTGTGCACGGCCACAGGCCAGGACTCTCCCTCCTTTCCTCTCCCTGTGCCCCTTCCACTTACTGGCTGGCGCCGTAGATGAGCTCCCAGGAGCCAAACAGGGCCTGGCGCTCAGGTGGTCGCAGGGTCCCCTTGGCTTTCAGGATCCCCAAAAAGTACTGCGGAAGGAGAGAATATTGGTTCCTAGCCTGGAGGAAGAGGAGGCTAACGCCAGGCTCCCCCAGAAACCGCAGAAGTCTGCCCAGGCTCCCTGCATGCAGAGGGATAGTCCAAGACCACCCTATTCCGGGTTACCGACCTCGCAGAGACCCTCCCACACCCTGGGGTCCCTGTTCCATAATGGGAGTGTGTGCCAGGTCCCGCACCGTGGCCACCAGCCCCAGCTGTTCTTGGTAGCGCCGCTCAGTCTCTAGCAGCTCCCGGGCGGTGCAAGCGCGTTTCCGCTCCCAGCGGGCACGCTGCTCTTGCACCGGGGACCGCACACCCGGGTAGTGGATCTCCATGCCTGGCTAGGGGATCGACACTTCCGGCTGCAACCCGCGGCAGATTCAAATCCCAACCGCTCTAGGGCGGGAGCCGCGGAGGCGGGGCCGGGGAGGGCAGCGCGCAGGAAGGAGCATGCGCGGCGGCCGGCCGGACCGCGCAGGGTCTCTTTCGTCCTGCCCCACCGCCAGGGAGGCGCCTTAGCTGCGCGGCGCCGGCAAGGGCAGGGCGGGGTGGGGCAGGTGTGGGGCCCTCCTCTGAGTGGCACTATGTTGGAGCAGCAGCCTGAACTTTCAGTCAGGAGACGGGCTGCAGATGCTGGCAGGAACTTAGCGTCCTATCTGGAGAATTGGATGGGGGTGGGGCGCGATCATTACAGTACACATTCTGTCCCGAGCCCATGCCGAATGCCAGGGGGTCGGTTGTTCCCAGAATTGGCTAGGAAAAGGTATAGCCATTTGAAGGAATGATATGAAAGTATTAAATATTATAAATGGTGTTGTGAAGAAGCTATTAATATGGGAAAACACACATAGTAAGTATATTGCTGAGAGGAAAAAAGCAGGCTACGAAGGTGTATAATATAATACCCTTTGTATAAAATACATACAAAAGGTTTGAAGGCGAAACAAGCAAAAGCTAACTGTGTGGCCGGCACGAGAGCTCACACCTGTAATTCCAGCACTTTGGGAGGCAGAGGCGGGAGCATCGCCTGAGCCCAGGAGTTCGAGACTCCATCTCTCCAAAAAAAAAGAAAGAAAAAAAAAAAGTTAACTGTGGTTTTTATCTCTGGGTAATGGAATTGAAGATAATTTGCTTAACAAGTGTGTATTAAGTACCTAATCTGTATCTGTGCCAGGCACTGGATCACTGAAGCTAAAGGGATGAACGGGACAGACAGGGCGATTTTTTAAATTCTCGTATACTTCTGCCTTTCCCAAGTTTTCTACATTAAGCATGCATTACTTTGTAGTTAGAAAAAAAAATGTTATAAAAAAAACAAAATGTCAGAAACTTTAGGCCCCCTCCCTACTGTTTTGGACTCCTAGGAATCTGGACCCCAAGCCAAGAACCAGGGGATTGTCAAGGTTCTGAGGTCCCCACCACCTCCCCACCAGCTCTGACATTCTAAGAATTCTAAGAAAGAAATAATGCTGGGCTTAGACCAGGGAGGAATAACTTGAAGCGCTTGGTTGAAGGAAGGGGAGAGTTTGGATCAGATTGTACCTTGGGCTCATGTCCCAAGGAAACTGGTAGTGATACCAAATAGGTAGAGGACTGGTTATACTGTCTCAAGTGAATGTGGGACAG